GGTCGCAGCGGTGAGAGTCCTGCACCCTAACCACTAGACCACCAGAGGCCCCCTAGTATTCTTTGTAGAATAGTGAGTTTTAGACAACCAGCAAGTAGTTTTCTTCCTGAGCCTGTAGATGCCTGGCCACATAAAACAGAAGTTAAGCCACTGGCTTCATGTGAACTAATGTGGAAGATTATGAACTACATCAAACGGCTACATAGGTTTAAGTAAGTGAAAAAGTGTAATTTCAGTAAAAATGTGCATTGATACTGTACAACTGTCTTAGTATTACTTTTATGTGAAATTAACTGTGTGCATAAGTTCATAAACTTCTTTTGTACTGTAGCATAGTACTTCAGATTGTCAGGTTTTTTTGGTGCTCAACAGTAGAAATATAAGCACCCTTAAAATGCTTCAAATTTGCTAAGAACGGTAGTGGTAATTTAAATGTTTACTTCTCCCATTCCCCTTTTCCTCAAAAAACCCAAAACAATGAACCCAACCCTCCAAAGTTTAACTTGCAGTTCTAGAGCAAACAGACTACTACTGGCCTGTATCCATACAGAGATGCAGTAGTATAAACAGAACAATTGCTGATCCTTGCATGAGCTTAAATCTGTTGAAAATGCCTCAGCTTATATGAGTCTGCACAGACTAAAAAAACCCCAAAACCAGCTGTAATTGCTTCCACAGAGCATTTTGCATGAGTCCAATTAGCCTAATGTAGCATCCAGTATTAGGGTGGAACGAGAATGCACATGTGTATAGACTGGACAACAGAAAGAATGTTTATGGACAGGTGCAAAAACCCACCAACACTCGAAACAGGCAGGAAGCTGAGAATAAATGGTCGTGTCACATGTTGCCACGAGGGAAGAGAAACCATTTCCTCTCAGACACCCAAACTGCCTTTGAAGCTCTCAGCAGCTCATTACTCCGCAAATTGACTGAATTGTGCCAGCCCCCCAAAAACCTCACCGAGCACCCCAAGTACAAACGTTTAGCCCTTTAAACTATTAAAAACGGCATTTACAGCCCCCACTCACCACAACCTCCTGGGCCACTGCTCCAGGTCCCCAGGGCGGCAGGTGGCTGCCCTCTCTCCGGGCGCTTGAGACAAGCGTGACCTCTCCTTCCTGAGCTACCTGCCTTCGCTAACCCACAAACCGAGGGTTTCACCTGCCTCCTGGGCCTAGGGGAGCCGAGCCCCTGAAGCCCCCAACACCAGGGATGTGGCACACGCCCCCCCCCCCCAAACTCCCGCCACCACTGGAGGATTTCCCAGCACCGGAGCTTAACGGACGGGGAAGAGGCAGCGGCGGAGTGTGGAGGGAGGCAGGCGGCGAGGCGGCCGCGGGGCTGAGGAGAGTGAGGGGGCAGAGGAGAGTGAGGGGGCAGAGGGGTCCGAGGGGTCCGAGGAGGGCGAGGGGCCCGTGAGGGCTGAGGGGCCTCGCGCCGCGGAGCCCGCGCGGGGGTGTCACGAGGGGGTCGCGCGCCGCCCGCGAGCGAGGCCGCTCTTCCTCCCGCGCCGTCACGTGCCGCCGGGAGCCGCAAAGCAGCGGCGGCGTTTGCGACAGGGTGACAGCCAAATGGTGCGACATCGGCGGCGGCCGCAGGCGCAGCAGCCGCGGCGCTGCCAGGGCCGAGCGCCGCGCCCGGGAGGGGAGCGCACGGCGGGCACCGCGACGCGCCCCGGACACCGCTCCGCTCCGCCAGGAACGCACCGCGGGCAGCGCTTCGCGCCCCGGACATCGCTCCGCTCCGCACCGCGGGCACCGCACCCCGGGTACCGCACCGCGCCCCCGCGCCCGGCGCGACCCCCATGAGAGCAGAGCGGGCGGCGGCCGCCCCCCCGCGCACCCCCGCCCGCCCGCCTGCCTGAGCACGGAGCGCTCCCCCCGCCCCCGATGCGCCCTTAGTCCCGGCCCCGGACCCGCCTCCCGCGCTCCCCTCCCCGCCGGCGGCGGCGGCAGCAGCAGCGCCCAGGTGCGGACTTCAAACCCCGGCGCAATGGCGTCCAACGCGGCCGAGAGGGAGATCCTCTTCACCGAGATACAGGTAAGCGGCGAGGGGCGCCCCGGGAGCGCCGCCCCAGCCCCGCTCCCCTCCCTCCCTGGCGGGGAGCGCGCAGCAGCCGCCGCGCCCCGCCGCCCCCTGCCCGCCGCTCGGCGCGGGACGCCCACCCCGCACCCACACCCAGCCCCGGGCCGGGGGGGCGGTGGCGGAAGCCCGTGCCCACCCCAGGCCTCTTCCCGCCGCTCTCCCCCGGGAGCGGAGGCGCCGCCGCCCGGTCACGGCCCCACCCCGCCGCCGGCCGCGACCCGCTTTTGTCTGCGCTCGGCTCCCTCCTTCCCCCGCCGAGCGGCCGCGTCCCTCCGGCAGGGCCTGCCTGCGCCGCGCCCCCCGCCCCGGCAGCACCCCCCGCCCGCCCCGGGGCTGCCGCGCCCGCCCCGAGCCTGCCGCAGCCGCTGTGGGGCCCGGAGCTCTCGCCCTCCCCCGCCGCCCGGGCACGGCGCTGGTCCGGGCCCCGCCGAGCGCTCCCGGGGCCACCCCGCCGCCCGCGTCAGGGTCAGGCAAAGAGCCTCCTCTCCCCTGGACATGGCACCGCGCAGCAGCCGCGGCAGCTTCCTTCTTATAGGCCTTGAAGAGGAGAAGCCCGGGAAGAGGAGAAAATGGTGCGAACGGCGTTATTTGTCACACCGCGAGGGTTCTTGTCACTACATAAAACTAACTCTAAACAACGCGCGACACTCTTAGAAGTCCTGAAGACTCGAGGGTTGGAGTTTTTCATCCCTGTAGTTTGACCACTTTTGGTTGCCTGTGCAAGTGTTACTTTTCTGCTTGTCAGCTGCAGGGTTAGCAGGGTTAGATGCAATTCGGGAGCTTCACTTTTGTGTTCTTATCTTTAAATGTCAGCTTAACCTGCTACCTCTTAAGCTTCCTTGTCCCGAAGAAAGTTTGCTTTCCTTTTTTTTCTTTTTTTTAATATACGTCGTTAAGTCTATGTAAGTTGTTATGTTTAACCAGGCAAAGAATGTGTGTCTGAATTTATTAGATAGACAATTAACCGAAATAAGAAGACCATAAATGGAAAGTATTGAATTTAATGCTCAAAAAGAAAATAGGCATGTTTTGAAAAGGAGAAATTTTATTTCCCAAATGCTGTTAAATTCTCCTGTAATTTTGAATGTTAGCAATGTGCTCACTTGAGTAACAAAAGAAGGCACAACAGAGATGTAGCAGTCTACTTAATATTGTAGCACGTGAGATGGCTGAAGGCTAAGAATCCATCTAAAATGCTGAACTTTAATCAGTGGCTCATAAGTGCTTAGGAAGAATCACTATGTTAATACAAACTTGATACGATGATGTATAAGCTGGTAAACCTGTTTGAAGTGGTGAGCTGTGTGAATAGCTAACTATGGTAGTGTTACAGGCAAGATAAATGGAAGCAACATTTCTGTAGAAGTACCAAGAGTGAGGTTCACATTACTTTAAACAGAAATGAGTGAATTATTTTGGGATTGGGGAGGGTTTGGTTTTTGTTTTGTTTTGTTGCTTTTTTTTCTTGAAAGATGAGACTGACAGTGATATTAATAAAAAAAAAGAAGATAATATAAAAAATAGTTATTTTTAAAAAACCAAAACACAACAACAAAACAAAAAAAATCCAGGATGGATTAGATTCTTTGGTTGCACTGCCTCTTCCATTATATATGGTAACTTCTATATTGATAAATACAGTTCCTCAGGCAGGACAGAAAGGTAAGAAGTTAACACAGGAATCCCGGGGGTTTAAGCTTCGTGAACTGCTAACTTTTAGGTATTTTTAAGAGGAACTTCCATATTAGAAGGAAACATTGTAAAGATGCTATTTTGTTTGTGGTGGTGTATATTAGCAGTGAAACATAAAGGCATTAATATAACTCTTCTTGGTAATACTTGAAAACAAATTGCTGTTCGTATACCTGTACATAAAAGTTGGTTTAGTGGTATGGCCCGAAAAGAAAGAGAACTGCTGTGAAGTGTGAGATACGCCATTTCACACATGTTTCTTCAGAAGGGAACTTCCTCAATCTAAAGAACTCCGACTTAAAAAGTGCTTATATGTAAAATGGGCTTTTGCTTGCATATTGCAATCCTGTGCAGAAAGATGAGGAAGTTGTAGAATGCGTGGTTACAGTAAAGGTTAAAAGGGTCAGGTAGTTGGATGGATTTAGATCATGGACAATGGTTTAGATGTTTTGCTAATACTCGTGAAAACTTACTGAAAACAAGCTAAACCCAGTGTAAATCCCAAGCTTGGTCCTGACATGGACTCTAGAGTGAGTATCAGTCAGTGATCAATACAATACATTGCTTTCTGCTGTTGCGTGTTCTGCATGCACTTGGTTATGACAGCCCTGTGTACTCCAGCATGGTATAAGTAAACTGGTAGGCTTGGGTCAAGTTAATTAAAGTGGATCACTAGTCAAGAATCAGTTGAACTCTCCTGATAAAAAGATTGGCAGACTGTCACAACTACTGACTTAACAGGATGTGAAGTGGATTCTGAGAAAATATGAAAAACAAAAGACCAAAATAGCTAACTGCTAATAAGAAAGTGGTGGTACATGTACTTGTTTCAAAGTGTACTGGGCTTAATTAAACAGGCCTTAAATAGGCCTTAGGTTGCACTTCTCACAATGACAGTTTTGTATTTTAAAAAAGTGACTCCATAACTGATAAAGCAGTTTCTTAAAAACCTCTGCTAGGAAATATCCACTTGATATTTTTGTCCTGCTTTTCCTACAAAATATGGTATGCATTCTTTCATAAGATGTGGAAAGTATGTCTTGCTTCTTAGCAGGTTTTCAGCTGAGTTTGTTCAAGGTGAAAAATGCAACACTTATTCCTCAGTAGTTAGCAAATGCATAATATGAAGTAAACTTGGCATTAAAAATCCTCCTTTTGGTTTGTTCTGTTTAGTAGCTTCACCAGTGAAATTGCCTGATTACTAAAGATTGAAAAGATTACATAAAGCCAGATTACCCTTTTTTACCTCTTTTTATCTCCAGTACAGGTTTTTTTGTAGGAGGGGGAATGAGTTTGGGTAAGAACCACTATTGCTGATGTTGCCTTCCGTTCCATTGGCTTAGAACTTTGTCCACCAGGTAAAGGAGCCTCTCCAGTGCTTGTTCTCAGGTTAATTGCACAGTCTTTAACTCTTTGCTTCCTGGTGGAAGTGGCAACTCTGTTACTTCATAAAATTAAACTTTAAGGTATGGTGCTGCAGGCTGTTAAATAAGGCATCTGTGAAATAAATTTTAAGTTTCTAATAGAAAAAAAGTTTGTTCGGGTTTTTTTTCCAAATCATTATTAAAAAGAAAAGAGAAGGTCTTTTGTGAAGTTGTGTGTGTTTCCAAAGATGTGTGCTTTCATTGGCAGTGATGGTAGATGTCAGCATAGTAAGTTGATATGACTAGGTGAACAGAAATTATTACTAGGAGTATTTAAATAAAACTATTGTGTATGCTTAGTAATTACACTTTTGTACTTTTAGATGTTCACTACCACTTCTTTTCTAGACAGTACTGTAAATCTTTTAAACTTGGGGCTTTTATTGTTGATGTTACAGGATTTATTTTAAGAAAATTTTAGGTTCACTCAAAATTGTGCTTTCAAAACAATACTTGTTTAATACAAGGGGAAAAAGAGCGTATTACTTGGTTTTATTTGCTTAAATGAAATTGTTTGGTCAAGATAGAGAACTTGGGCTATGCCCTGAAGTACAGCATGTAAGAGATCTTCAGTTATTTCAAATGGAAGTGTAAAGGACTATGCCTGGAATTAACTTTTCAAACTCAGCCATAATACGTATTTCTAATATCACAGAACACTGGAAAAATGTCTTTATTTCTATATTTGTCAGAATAAGGGGATTTTAAATGGATATTTTGTTTTAATGCCATAGTCATCTAAGTTCCTAAGATGCTGTACTTAGGGATCTTAAAGCAGAAGTGTTATGACAGAATCATGTTTGAAATCTCTTGGTAACTTTTTTGTTTGTTTTTTTTTCAATAGCGATGAACAGTACCACAACTAAAATATAAACTGAAATATATGTAAATTAGGATTATATGATGGCACACTCACTGTAGTTTTTTGTTTGTTTTATTTTTCCATTTCATACCTGGGACGAGAATTTTCATAAAGTGAATGTGACTGAACAGTGCTCAGTATTTTGTTAGTCTGCATGATACAAATCGAACAGTTGAGTCTTAGATTATACAACTATGTTTTGTATATAAATGTATATGAAATTGGGCACTTATACCTTGCCATGTTGAGTTATACTACCAGATGGGACTCTGAAGACCTGTATTTCATTCCTGGCTGCTCTGCTCTCATCTAGGTGACATTAGGCAGATGACTTTGCTTACTCATGTCTCAGTTTCCTCATCTTTAGAATAGAGGTAGGGATGCTTGTTTTTTTAGAGATAAAAAGTACTGGGTATTTATTATTAGCTGTGGTCAAGTGCCTAAGGACACCATAAAAAGGTACAAGTAACCTAATTAATCTGTTTTGAGGAGGAATTGTAATTGGGTTGAACACTCAGCAGTAAGACTGCCTTCAAATAATATTCAGCTAGAACAGATTACCTTTCAATAATTTTGAATCACTCTTGTTTCTTCAGAAGAAGAAAATGTCACATTCAAGTGAAAATATCCTGAACTAGTCTACTGCAGTTTAGAAATGAAAATGTGTGTACAGCTGCTTGGGATTTCTTATGTCCCTACAAATGCTTTCAGAACTGGTGAATCTAGGGAAGCGCTTCAGGTTT